TCAATCCTTCTGGGATATTCTTCTTCTTGACCATCTGAGAAACTTATCCATTTGTGCTCTTGATTATTTTTAGATATTCCTCTTTCCTTTAATTTTTCCTTTTTCCTTTTATAGTTTCTTGAATTCAGTTCCTTGGAGGATAATAAGTAGTGACAACCTGCTGACAATTATGGATAAGTTAGGAGGGTCTTTACTCAAAATTTAGTTCAGAGTGAAATATTGCCCCCAAGGTTACACTTAGAGACCGAAGCTTTTTTGAGAATTGATGGTTGTTGACGAGTGTATTAGTACAAACTTTTAGTTTAGCCATGATGCAATTGCCTTATGTATCTCTATCAGTTTTCATATAATTAATAAACATACAGTACTGGCCTGACCAAGAGTTTAAAAAAAAAAAATAAGTTATATAATCCTAATTATAAATAGTATTATTAATTACTTTAATAAAATAAATTATGATTTGAAAGTATAAAAGATAATAAAGAAATAAATTTAATACTATTTTAGAATTATAGAAAATAAATATTAGAGTGTGATAAAAGGTAATAATTTTTATATTATTTATTTAAATAAGATTTTCTTTAGAAAATAATTGATATATTTAATTGTGAATTAAGTTTGTATTAAAATAGTTATCAAATTTATTAATACAATATTTTTTTCTTGAGATTTGCTAAACTTTAAATTTTGAATTATAGATACTCTCTTTTAGCAAATATCTTAATTTTAAAAAATTTTTAAATATTGAAAAATCTATTTTAAAGTTATTATCAATTTGTTAATCTATTCAATTAATTTCTTAAAAATTAAATAGGGATAAAAACTATTACAAAGAAGTATCAAGCTAAAATCTAATATGATATGCAAAAGTTCTTAAATTAGTTAATAATTTATTAAGAAACTTATTATTAATAATTAGATAAAAGAGATAATATAATATTTTTTGAAATAAAGATAATTTTATTGTTAAATACTGTAAATCTTAAAATTATTTTGAAATATGAATTTTTATCTTTAAATACATAATTATATTATATAAAATATAAGAATAAAAATATAATAATAATAAGTAATAATAATAATTTATTAGTTTCACTAGATACTTAAATTGATTTTAATAAATAGAATTAAAATATTTATGAAAATAATAGTATAATATAATATAGTAGAATAGAAGAAGTTCTAGAATCATATTTGTCTTATTTATTTGATTTGTTTAGAACAAATAATATCAATCCATAATACAAGGAATATTCTTGAAAATCCAGAATTCAGATAACAAATTAATTATGATAGCCAGATCATCAGTGCTAATGCTATTACAAGACTTTAAGATTTTTAGAAAATAAATTTCTTGGGATTAACAATTGCAAAAGGACTTATATCTTTCCTTTTTGACTGTTATTGCCCTTTTAGAGGTTTTACCTTTACCGTTTCTAAGAAATTTTGCCTACCTCAGTTTGATTCTGAATTTTTGAATAGTATATATAAAACGCATTAGTTTTTGAAATGTAAACAAGCTTTTATTGACTATACTCACATGATCTGATAATATCAAGGATAATTAAAAAAGAAGGTTCAAAAATTTTTTTCTTCAAAGTTACAAGTTCTTCAAGAAGACATTCATAATGCAAAAGATAAGAGAGATAAAAAAAAAATAATAATAATTCTCGTTATATCCAGTATATGGATATTAATGCATTGATAAATTAGTGCCAAGTAAACAGACGTATTAATTTATTAATAGCTTTAAAACGAAAAATAAAAGATTAAATTTAAAAAATATATATGAATATATATAATTTTTATAGAACGAATGTTAGCATTGCATATTTGCTGTTATTTTTTTTGAAAAAAAACATTTTCGAGTCAATCATACTGAATTAAACTTAATTATGGCTTCTAAAAAGCTATTGAACATATTATGGTACTAACCACTAAAATTACTTTTGACGTCTTATTGAAATAGCCCTGAACTGTACATTATGGTTTATGAGATGAATATCACAAACTTCTCAACTAATAATTGCAGCTTGGTCATTCGTGTCATTCATTCATTACTGATAAATTTTCTCGCGTAGAATCTATGTATGTGATTATAACACTTGTTCTTCTCCCAATATTCGTCAGCGCTATTTAATATCTCCTCGTATTCTTCTCGAGTCATCACCATCTTTCGCGCCTCCATTCCATTTTTGCATATATCTTCGTCATTATTTTCCATAAAGCCTTTCTCCTTTGAGTCCACCTCCTTCTCTTTCCCCTTGACACTGTTATGCTGGGGTATCATGTCACTCAAATGATTATTAATCGTTTCCAGAATCATAGAACCAATAGTGTGACGGTAGAACTGTATGCAATTCTCACGGGAGGCAATGCCCACCCTACCGGCCCCTTGTTCGTGGTGTGCCATCATTTGTACTTTATGATGAAAATCGGTGAGTTGTCCGGCACAATGTGATTCCAATATATTGCCGAGGTACGACGCGATTTCTAGGTTTAAACCCATCACGTGACCAAGCTTTATATCCATAAAATGGAAATGAAAAATGAAGCGCATGGTATAATTATAAAGCGGTATGAGCATACTCACATGCTTCATTCAGCTTTGAAAAATTTCCTGGCAAATTAATAATCTTCGGATCTACTTCGCACAACTCGATCCACCCACCAACTTTAGTGACCCGCACCAGTTCGGGAATCACCTTGTGCTTCCATTGTTCTTCTGTAAAATTAAACGCGGCATTTTGAAGATGAACGAAATCGAAGGTGTTGGACTTAAATGGTAAACCGACACCTTCGTCATTTTGGTTTTTATGTGAACCTAAACCAAGTTCGTCTTCGGATACTTCTCCCGTATCCTTCACAAAGTTGTGAACGTTTGTTCCTGAGAGAATGTTCGATTGTATAAATGTAGTATTGATGGGTTTTATTTCCGACGGATAGACTGGGTCCATGTCAACTCCAAAAAATTGAGATCTTTGATAAGTAGTTGCCATGTCTAATAACCACGTTCCCGGGCCGCAACTTGAATAAATAATTAGCATTAGATTGTAGAACATAATATGAATGGGTAAGAATTGGATTGTAGAACATATATCTGAAAATTTATTTAGTTACCAAACGTCCAAGACCTTACACCCACTTTCAAGCAATTCTTCAACAGGTGCCGAAAAGTTTCCTTGCAAAATATAATGAAACAAGAAATGCTGTAATTGCAACCTGTCGATCTCTTCGTTATCAGAAGGTAAACAGTATTTGGAATCCGGGACGTCATAATATTTTCGATCATTTAAATTTCGTAATTGGGCGTTTCCCAAAGAATAATTGGATTGAAATTGAGACAGTAGAAAATTTGAAGATTCCATTGATTTAGACATGTCAATTTTCGTATATTGTGACAAAAGAGAAGGGGGAGATGATGAGAAGGTATACTGTGTAGGTGAAGCTGAGGCTCTACATGAAGATACCGAGTGCCTCCTTAGGTTTTCTGGAGGGATGTTAGGTAAAGAGAGTGAACTTTTTTTGAGTAAAGTTGGATTTTCTTTTTCGATTATATAATCTTGAGGGATGTCTTTGCGTTGGATCCGAGAAGAGGTGGAAGGGATGATATTTCCCATTTTCTTTTAAATTTAATGTTTTTACAGAGGAGTTATTTCTTTAAAAATCGTGGAAATGAAAGGTGAATTATCAACGTTTATTCGTGTGTATTAGGCAGATAAAGTGCGCGTTCATCATAAGAAAGCAAAAGCGAAGACAACGATTCTGAAATAATTACGTGTTTGAAAAATTAACAATGGACGGTCAGCATTACTCACTCACAGTGTGTATGTGTTGCCCTATATTTTTTGCTATACATTTATTTGCAAATTGTAAGAATTATGAATATTTTATTAAAAAAATATACAATATCCATATACGTATTGTATTTACGAACCCTTGATTTCGTACATGACCTACAACGAATGTCCTTATTTGTCCATTATCGGTAATTCCGATGTGGCGTGAACCCAATAGTAGGTTCATTCAGCCCACGCCGAAAGTGTGCACCATCGATGAACCAACGCTACGAAGTCATGAGCTCGAGAATGATTTTCGCGTTTACGTACGGTGCATTTTATTAGTGCATGCGTGAGTTTTATAGTTTAAAAACAAATGCAGACAAATTTTTCTAACTCGGGACCATATGAAAAAAAATTTTTTTTTTAGAAAAATGTGCATTGAAAGATGTGCATTTATAGAGGTAATCTTATTAAGAGTTAGCTCTATTTACTTGGGATCAAACTTGACGCAAATATGCGTGTGTGTAGCGAGTAGTGTGGTTTAATATATTTGCTTCTGGTTTAATTTCTGGATTCATTGAGCACGTAAACACGTACAGTATGTAGGGCAGCGTGTGTATTTCCATTTGATAAATGGTCAATTATTCTTGAAGGCGAGCAAAATACTAAATATGATTTTTTCGGCTTCCATTTTTGAATAATGCGTATATAATGCAAATTTTAGGATCACAATTATAGGGTCCGAAAAATCCCTGTCCGCCTTCGAAAATAATTACCCAGATTCGGCACGGAGCTTTATTTTTAAATAATTGCACGAAACTTCATTTTTTTTTTAAAAAAAAAAAAATTTTTTTTGTAGTAAGTTGCACGAAA